ATTTATTTTTGCCAAAATCAGTGGTTATGTACTGTTCCATCTTTAAACATCAAACATGGAACACAGAAATAAATTTTTGCTAGGGCTAGCAGATGTTGTAATAGTTATTACCACTGGCCTCCCATATATTTGAATGCAATTCAAGTCCCAGAGTCACAGATTTAAAACTCAAGCCAGTGTGTGTCCATGTGTGCCCAAGACCCAAGAGGAGAATGGAGAAGAAGGGATTGTGGTATGGCCATCTCCCCAAGAGGTGGTTTCATGCTTTCTGTCACTCTGTTTCTCTGCTTTTTCAGAGAGCACATATGCCCTATAGCAAAAATCACTCTTAAAAAAAAAACAAAAACAAAAACAAAACAAAACAAAAAACACTTGACAAAATACATGTTACTTCTTTAGTTTGGAAAATCTTAGATCTTATTCATCAGCCTTCTGAAATGTTCTCTTTTTACAGACAGATATCATCTCCAAATTTTCTGATGTCAATAATTTCAACTACTGTGACTTGCTGAATCAAAGCTGAATTTGAAAAAAAAAAGTTCAATGTTATTACCTTCAGAGATCAATTCATATTTCTGAATACTTCAAGGATTTATAGCACAGCTTACATTACTGAGCATTTTGACCCATTTGGGTTTATTAATGAATGGTAAGCTTTTAATTCTAATAAAAAGATTTCTTCATTTTTCACATTCATTCCATTTCTGATCTGAGTGTTCTCTGATCCACAGTAAGTTGTGGCTTCTTCAAGAAGGTTTTAATACAGTTCCCACACATACAGGGTTTCTCTTCCTTGTGAATGCTCTAATGTAAAACATGGAATGATTATTCTGAACACATTTTTCTACACCATTCCCATTTATAGAACTTACTCCTGTGTTCACTGATTTACAGTAAGGACTGACATATATTAGATAGAAAATTTTCTATTGGTACATTGTCATTCACAGGCTTTTTCTTTTGTAAATTCTTTGATGTACATTGATGGTTAACTTATAAATGAAAGACTTTATATACTCCCTACATTCATAAAGTTTCTCTCCAGTGTGACTTTTAAGATGCTTACTAAATATAGTTTCTTTTTTAAATTAATTTATTTATTTTCATTTCACTTTCTTCCATACATTCAATCACATTATTATTTGTCTTACAAAATGGATATTTCAACAGGTGAACACCTCTCCCCAGCACCATCGATAAAACCACAAAGATCTTCAACAGATAATACCACACCTCTCTGTGCCATTAATGCTTTTCTTCCCTGTACCTCCCCCAAATGTCCTTCCTCAGACTCTCTTTCACACACATTATATCTGGTATTTACATCTATATACTGCGTTTCTATATCCTTTAGACAATTAGTTTCAGTCATAGAGTGCAGACACACGGTATATATTAAGTGGGGACATACAATGCCTCTCTTTCATAGCATGGCTTGCTTCACTCAGCAGTAAGACTTCCATATTCATCCACTTCCTGTCAAAAGCCAGGATTTTGTTGTTTTTTATGGATGAGTAGTATTCCATTGAATATATGTGCCACAGTTTTTTCCAACCATTCATCAGTTCGTGGGCATTTGGGTTGCTTCCATGACTTAGCAATCGTGAAAAGTGCCACAATAAACATCGATTTGCAAGCACTTTTCCGATAAAACAATTCTGAACAAGAAGAGTGGAGTGGGCGGCATCTCACTCCCCAACCCAAAAATATACTACAAAGCTGTGGTAATCAAAAGAGCATGGTACTGGCACAGAAACAGACAGGTGGACCAATGGAACAAAATAGAGTCCCAAGAAATGAATGCTCAAACTTACAGCCAACTGATTTTTGACAAGGGGTACAAGTCAATCCAATGGGAAAAAAGAAAACCTCTTCAGCAAATGGTGCTGGCAAAACTGGATCTCCACTTGCAGAAAGATGAATCTGAACCTACCTTTCACCTCTGACAAAAATAAAGTGAAGGTGGATCAAAGATCTAAATCTAAGACCTCAAACTATAAAACTGCTCCTGGAAAACACTGGGGAAACTCTGGGAGACATTGGGGTAGGGAAACGAGGAAAATCTGGGAGACATTGGGGTAGGGAAAAACTTCTTAAATACGACTCCCAAAACACAGTCAATAATCCCCAAAATAGACAAGTGGGATTACATCAGACTAAGAAGTTTCTGCATGGCAAAAGACACAGTACTTAGTGTGAATAGACAGCCCTCAGAATGGGAAAATATTTTTGTAAACTATGCATCAGATAAGGGACTGACCACCAAAATTCACAAGGCACTCAAGCAGCTGTTTTGGAAAAAGACGATCAATCCTATTAAAAGATGGGAGAATGAGTTGAAAAAAAACACTCTCTAAAGATGACATATGAATAGCTAAAAGGCATATGAAAAAATGCTCAACACCCCTCATTGTAAGAGAAATGCAGATCAAAACAACAATGAGATATCACCTAACCCCAGTCAGAATGTCTAAGATAAAAATAAAAAATGATAAGTGCTGGAGAGGGTGTGGTGAAAAGGGAACTCTCTTACACTGCTGGTGGAAATGTAAATTGGTTCAACTACTGTGGCGAACAATTTGAAGATTCCTCAAAAATCTACAAATAGACCTACCATATGATCTAGCAATCCCACTCCTTGGTATCTACCCAAATGATAGCAGAATACCAAATATAGTTTCTAAGAGAAAAAAAATCCCTATATTCTTCACATTCATTGAGGGTTCATGTCTTTTTTTTAAATATAAAAATATTCCAGATTTTTATATATAGGCTTTCTTAGAAAACAAAAACTCCAAGGTTGCTTTTAAATATTCTTGAAAAGTGCTACTTTAAGGTCACACTAAATAATTAGTAGTTATCACCAGCTCAAAATACCAGATGAGTCCATCTTTTTAAAAAAGAAATGTAGTAACTCACTATATATTATAATGTAAATACAAAATGAAAAGCACAGGTAACAAAAGCAAAAATAGACAAACAGGACTATATCAAACTAGTAAGTTCCTGCACAGCAAAGGAAACCATAAACAGAGTGAAGGAACAACCCACAGAACAGGAGAAAATATTTATGTACTATCCATCTGACATGGAATTAATAATCAGACACATAAAAACTCAAACAATTCTGCAACAAAAAAGCAAAAACCTGATTTAAAAATGGGCAAATAACCTGAGCAGTTCACAAAAGATATACAAATGGCCAACAAACATGAAAAATGCTCAGCATCACTAGTCATAATTAAACTACAAATAAAAACCAAAATGATATATCATCTCACTCTAGTTATAATAGCTAATACCAAAAAGACAAAAAAAATAAAAAAAAAAACTGATGAAGACATGGACAAGAACACACTTTAAGAAAAAAAAAAGGTTTTATTTTTGTTTTTGTTTTTTGTTGTTGTTGTTGTTTTTTAAATTGAGACCCAGTGGTTAGGACAACTGTGTGCAGTTGGCCATGGGGAATCTAACTGTCCTAACCATTGGGTCTCAATTTAAAAAAAAAAAGTTTTTGCCATAAGGTACATGCTCTTGTGGGGCAGAGAGACAGAAGAAAAGAAATCACTCCCCAGGGGGATGACCACACTACAATTGCTTCTCCCCCAATCCCTCTTGGGATTTTCGGTATGTATGCATGCTTCCAACATGACTTTCTTTTCTTTTCTTTCTTTCTTTTCTTTTCTTTTTCCCTTCTCCTCCATTCTCCTTTCGGGATCCTGGGCACACACACACACATGCAGCTGATATGAGTTTAAGCCACCAGGTCTGGGACTTGAACTGCATTTGACTACATGGGAGTCCAGTGACATAGTGATTACGCTAACTGCTGGTCCCCAACACGATTTTCAATTCACTGCATCTTAGACTGAACTGTGGTCCTACATGTGAGAATCCATCGCCTTAACCACTATGCCTGCCGGCCCCAATGGGGCGCTCTTTTACACCACTGGTGATAATGTAAATTCATATAGCGATTATCAAAAACAGCAGAAACTAAAAATTATATTGTCATATAATCCATAAATGAGTATGTTGTAAAGATATCTTTCCCAAAGCTTGTGACAACACTATTTGCAACAGCCAAGCTATGGAAGCAATCTTAAGTGTCCATCAACAGACAAAGAAAATGTGACACACACACACACATACACACACACACACACACACCTGGAATACTATGTAGCCATTAAAACTAATGAAGTCTACTCACTTTAGATCAAACAGGTAAACCTGAAGGGCATTATATTAAATAAAATAAGCCAGGTATACAAAAAGAAATATCACGTTTTCCCTCAGATACATAAATTGGAAAAAATGAACTCATGGAAGAAGAGAGATACATAATGACTACTGGACACTGGGGAGGGTCAGGGTGTATGCATAAAAAGAATGATGATTAGCCAAAATTGTAGATAGAAGGAGCAATCTTGTGTTACAAAATACAGTGGAGATGTGGTTAATTACAACTTACTATATATAATATTACAAATAGTTGAGATGATTGAAATGGATATGTTAATTACTGAGTTAATCATTACACATTGTATTTATGTACTGAAAAATCACAATGTAGCAATTATTCTGTTAGTAGACAATTATTAATTTAAATAAAAAGTATACTAGATCGTGATTAGTTTTGCTACTTAATAGCTTGGGATGACCTTTAACATCTCCAAACTTCAGTTTCCTCTTATGTGGCAAAGAAACATGGTTAGGTGACATGCAGACCTAAGAGATAATATAGGTTATTTATTTTAGTTTGTGATAGAGGGTGTGTACACTCCCCAAAGAGACAGAGGGAGGGAGAGAAGTGAAGAAAGCACATCTCCTGGGGAATAGTCATGTTGTAATCCTTTCTCCTTCATTTCTCCCTCCCTTAGGACCTTTTTTTTTTTTTTTTAGTTTTTTTTTTAGTTTTTTTCCTATTATTTTGTGGTCCAGGAAGAAAGGGGTTCTGGGGCAGCCTAGTCATGTGGGGACCAGGGGTTGTGCCCACCATGGCCTGGACTCCTCTTGTCTTCATGCTCCTCTCTCACTGCACAGGTAGGGACAGGCTGTGGGAATCAGGAGCAGCTCCCATTCTGCTTCTTGCCAATTGCCCCAAGAAACATCACTCTGGTCCCATTACCCCTACGCTTCTCTATCTGCAGATTCCATTTACAGCCTGTGATGATCAGCCTCACTCCCTCTCTGCATCTCCTGGAGCAACTGCCAGACTCACCTGCACCCTGAGCAGTGGCTTCAGTTGGTCACTATGGGATACAGTGGTACCCCAGAAGCCAGGGAGCCCTCCCTGCTATTTCCTGAGCTATGACTCAGACTCAGTTAAACACCAGGGCTCTGGAGTTCCCAGCAACTTCTCCGGATGCAAAGATGCCTCAGTCAGGGCAGGATGAGGAGCCAGTTAGGTTCCTGAGAGGATAGAGGTTCCATGGACCTAGCAAAGCCCGCTCTTGCCACTGTCCCCAGTGAAGCCTGATGGGGGTCAACGCCACATGACATTGTGATGTCTGCATTTGAAGGCGGTTTCCAAGGAGAAAAATTGTTCTGAGTACTGTTTCTTGACGGGGCCATGCAGGCAACACAACTTGGTAAGGATGCTGCCTCCCATTCTAAGGCAAGGCCTGGACTGGGAAGAAACTGAGGCAAGGCCCAGTTTACGAGCTCTCCCTTGTGTCCTTGAACTGGCCGGTATTCAATTTCTCTGCCGTGAGTTTTACTGTTATTACGGTACCGTGTAAGGGTAAAACATCACCCCCAACCATTGCAATAAAGCCAATTAGTGATCTTGTAGGAATGTGGTTCCCTAAGACTGACAGGAGGATCAGGAAGTTTAAGACTCCCCCACCTGTCTGTTTTTAAGCCAAAATTAACATATAGGTTAAGTTAGTATAAACCAAATTAGCATTAGAAGCATATGTAGACTAAGTTAGTTTAAGGCTAGTTTTATGTAAATACCCCTTGTTAAAGCTACAGGCTGAAGTTAACTCAAGCTAGGCAAAGTCAGCACATTCACCACATAACAGAGACTCAGAGATAAAACAAAAGAACTCACTAATTGACAGACTAAGCAAACAAAATTCAGAAACCTGCAGGTTTATAAAAGTAAAAAGCCTGACTGGGACAACAGAATAAACAAACCTGAAGGCCCCAGAGAAAGATTAACCATTTTAGCTGGGAGTTCTTATCTACAGCAACAGGTAGCTCTCAGCTACAGAGA